GACAAAGAAACGGGATCTCATTAAAACTAAACCTCTCAGAAGGCTGTCTAAGTACCTGTTTTCAAAGATGTGTATGTTAATGATGAAGACTATATGATGTCCCACTACATGGCAGGATGAAAACTGGTTTTTTGTGAAAGTTGATGTGCAAAGGCTCCTCAGGATCTAAGGTATATCCAAGCAAAAGTAACTTAATGGCTGTGACTTGGGGGTGATCCAATGATCAAAACCAGGTGATAGTTCAGAGTACAGACTGAAGCAGTCCACACCATCATCCCATACTTTATGTACAACTGTTATTAAAACTACACACCTCTTATCAACATGTCTACATGAATAACTAAACTGAGCTGAAACCAAACTGTACTGAGAAGTATGACTTCTGCAACCATGTACTGTAGATTGCCCTGTTGTAGAGATTTTTTTTGTAAGTACACACAGTTTTCTCAGCTAAGCTTTGAGAGGATAACAGGTTCATACATAGCTACAGTTTTCACTGGAAGCTGCTGTTGGCTTTTTATTTATAGTTAGTATTTAGATGCTATGTTCATGTAGAATATAATGGTAGAATCAAGCTATAGGTGGACCAATAGATTTACTTGTTCTGGAATTTTAACTCCACTCTCTCTGTATCATTTCCCACCATTTATTTTATAGAAAATAGCTGCCACTGTAATAGATTGCAGTCTTCTCTTTTATGGAATATAAAAATGTAGGTTACATTGGAGCTATCTTTCCTCCTCCTCACGATCTCCTCTCAGTAAAAATGCAGGGCATGCTTCTGAGACAGGATACAAACATGTCTTGGCTTGAGAACAAAGTTGATACCTTTCAGCAACAATTATTAGAAGCTTTAAAGTATATTTTAATTTGACTCAGCTATAATTCATTACAAAAGCTTTTAGTTATCTTGAAGTACAATTTCACTGACTGAGACCTGTAAAGAATTTGTCAAAGGATAAAGTGTAAATAAGGATAAAATGGAAGGATAAAGAGTAACTAAAACCGCAGATGTTTTGAATATTTTTTTCATAATAAAATGTTGATGAAGGTAAAACAAAACAGTGTTCATAACATGCATCTTCCTCCCTTTATGCCTGCAGTGGTAGCAGTTTTCACTGGCCTAATTCTCTGGTGTGCTGAGGACTTCCAGCAAAAGGCTGACCTGAAAAATCTTTGAGATTATCTGAAATCTTACGTGGAGATTGTTAAAATACTAAAGCTATATGAAAAGCATATGTAAACTTCTTAAAACTAAATCTTAGATACACAGACAAATTCTAGATACGTAAGTTATCCATATTGACTGCTACATTATTATAACTGCATAAAAATCCTTTTGATAGCTTATTGATGACTTGACTTCATGTAATTTAACTGACCCATATTTGCTAAGGTATTGCATAAGCCAGTGTTTGGAAAGGAGCCAAAAGGAAAAAAGGAAAGAGAAATCAGATTAAACTGTAAATCTCTGGTAGGCATAGGTTTAGCAAATGTTACAGGATATATGGAATGCAGAATCCAGTGCTATTTCTTGGAAAAACTGGTATTAAATGCCTGAGCCAAACAAACTACATATTTTAAAATTCCTAAACACATAACAAGACAATGAAGAAAAATCAGGAAAAAAGTGTTCCACTGCTAAACACCACTTTGTAACCAATACAAGTAGCATACCTGCTGCTTTAGTTTATTATTCATATTGCAAGTGTAGGTGAAAGTTAAGATTCTCCAGTAAAAAAACCACATCATGTGGCCTTAAATTAACAGTCCTGTCTTGACCGCAGCAGAGGGTGAAAAAAGTTACTAAAATCCAGAACACTAGAATGAGACGTGGTAGTGTAAATCTATCTTGTCAGACTCTAATTTCATGTATTTTGGCATTCATCATCCTCAGTTTACTACTTCTGTAACTTTGCAATTTGGGGATGTCAAGTAACGTCTGTCCATGACATTACCAACATCAGGGCATGCCCACACTGAGGTCATCACGTAGCAAGTCACTGACACCCAAGTCAGCTCTAAAGAAAGACACTTTTCATAATTGCCCAACAATCTGATAAGTGAAAACATATGGATAGGTTTAGGTAAAGCCTGCAAGGAGCCTTCACTAAATGGAAAACAGGTGCTCCAGTTCCATGCCATGTAATACCCTATTGATCATAGATCCCAAAGTTTACAGGACTAATAGCTTCCTTGTGGTAATCAGGGAGCAAAGACACTGGCCATGGTCGAACAGCTGGGGCATATTTTACATATTTGCAACATATGCTTCAGTTTTAATGAAAGTAAGGTTTTGGCACATTTATTAGTCTTGTAACTTTCTTCACATAAGGAGACCCATTTTCCTGAGTTTTCTATTAAACCACATGAAAAAAAACCCAAAAAACAAGAGAAATAATAAAAGCCAAAGGTCACTACCAGCTGGTGGTACAAAACATGCATTTTTTTTCTCACAAAAATTTATTTTGCACATAGCTTTAAGAAAACACACTCAAACTAAACACAAAACTGCACCCCTCCATTTAGTCAAAAGATGTAACACGAACAGCAGGAGTTAAGAGAGTATGTCTAGTGCACCAGAAAGGAAAAACAGCTTCTAACAACAAACAAATTAATCCTAACCATGTGCTTATTATTTACAATTTAACCTAATGCAAAATAACACCCACTGCAAACACCCTGAATAAATAGAGTAGTCTATTCATGCTTGTTTTAAAAAGTGTAGGGTTTTTTTTCCAATTCAAACAGCATATTTAATCTTGAGAGCTCAAAACATTTGCAATAATGAAGACAGCTTTGAATTTATGAAAATCAACCTTAACACCTTCTGTATAAAAACCCAGCTCTTAAATATGCAATAAAAGGGCTCACTGAATGCACACAGTAATGTCAGTACTCACTTTAATTCAACCTTGGTAACTAGATCCAGAAAAATGTTTGAACTCTGGTGTCAGTTTGAGAAAGCTGAATATTAGATCATAACATTGAAACCTAGAGTGATATTTCTAATTAGGGGTGTTTGCTCAGAGAATCACCAGAGAACTGGGGGGAGGGAGGGGCTGACCTCTGCCTTCATCTTCTCTTTTAAAGAAGTTTGGTTAGCAATTTCCAAAACCCACTAAGCAGTAACTACACAGGCTGGTTTAATCTACAAGCAGTCAAGTACTATTCTTTGTGAAGTAATCACAGTGGTTAAAATATCCAGGAATACACACACTACTGGTATGACACATTTGCACAGATCTAATTATAAAGCAGAAACAAACAGGAGAAAATGGCCTGAAATGGATGGTAAATCAGTGTTTATCAGAAGATGACTGAAAGCTAGCATATTGAGATAAAATTCAAGCCCTCCACAGCTACATGATGGACTTTTACAATCAATCATATATTTTATTGCTAATAATGAATGCTCATATCATTTAGCATCAAAAAACCTCCGATATGCATTTTGTAGAAGATTTTGTTAATACAGTGTTATGAAATTATGTAGCTAACAATTTAGCTGATGTATAGAAGAATTTCTCATATAAATTGAGAAGTTAATGTGTGTTATTATTCAAGCCAGTGTTTGACCTGGCAATAGAATGAAGAAATACTCTTATTTTTTATAATCTCTTACATCTTAGGTCTTAGCTAACAGAAAAATAATTATTCAGGGAATTAACTAATTACAGTGAATTTTCTGACATTTCAAATGCTGCTGCCAGCATATGAATTCTTACAGTGGTGTATAAATGTACATCTCAGCCAGAAAAAAAGGTCAAGAGCATAAATTAAGATGCACTGTTTTTCTCCTCTCAAAAAAAAAAAAAAAAAAAAAAAAAAAAAAAAAAAAAAAAA